CGGGCCGACGTCGCACCACGACCCGCGCATGGGCCTTAGTGGGCTGGCGTCGGTCGGCCAACTTGCCGATTTGTTGCCGGAGCTTTCTGGATTGTTGGTCAGCCTTTTAACCCATAGTCTCCGTCGCACTGTTTGGCGCCCGGGACATCTGGCTTGGAACATGCTATCTGAAGGGCGTGGTGGTGTAAAGGCTCCCTGAAATCTAGCTGCGTTCTTGAAGAAGAAGAGCTTGTGCCCCGCGGGGCGGCCAGCCGTTGAAGATGATTTTGGCTTGTGTTGAGGGCCCTTGGCAGCCGCAATCTCGAGGGTATGGTCGTGTGAAGTCCGAAATGGTTTTGAAAACGTGGCTCTTCAACACCGCCGTGCCCTCAGGGAACGACCTCTGGGCCAACTTCTGCACACGAGGGGTAACTTCTGTGCTAGGGGGCTGGGGTAACTTCTGACTTGTGGGGTGACAAACACGCCCGCTCGTACCTGAAATCGTACTTTTGCAAGGGAAAGTACAAATTTCAGGTACGACTCCGAGTACGGTTCCAAGTACGATTCAAAAAAAAAATCAAAGTTCAATCGTACTTGGATTCGTACTTGGAATCGTACTTGGAATCCTACCTGAAATCGTACTTTTGCAAGGGAAAGTACAATTTCAGGTACATTTCGAAGTACGATTCCAAGTACGATAGTACTGGAATCGTACTTCGAATCGTACTTGGAATCGTACTTGAAATCGTACTTCTGCAAGGGAAGGTGCAATTTCAGGTACAATTCCAAGTACGATTCCAAGTACGATTCCGGTTACGATTCCAGCACGGTCTCCGAACCAGATCGTATGCGAAGATGTAGCTGTAGCTGGAACCGTATCCAGAACCCTACTTTGAATCGTACATGAAACTGTAGTTGTACTTTGGGATCGTATCCCGAACCCTATTAATCTCAGATGATACAAGAATTGCTTGCAAAAATGTCATAACGGTAAGCGAAACAAGCATGGTGCTTGTTTGTTAGGTGAAACGCAACGAAGAGAAAAACAACGACCAACGCAACACAAAAGCAAAAAGCCAACAAAGCGAAAGATATGACATGCGGGGTGAAACTTCCTCTTTCGCCACACGTCGAACAGCAAATAGTCCATAAACACATTCTTGCACGGTGCATCGCAGCTGCACAAAGATTGGAAATCACCGTGCACGTCTGAATGTTGACAGGTAAAGAGGGAAGCTGTACCTTTCTCCAGGCAGGCAAAGGCTCTTGGCCATCACGCAGCGCACGTCCGAGTGCTGATTTGCCAAGAAAAAAGCTGTATCTTTCTCCGAATGGGCAAAGGCGCAACTGTAATTCTGAGCACCCTCACTGCAGCTAAGTGCCGGTGCCAGCAACCACATGATGTTGGCGTATCTACGCATAGGTATGCATAGACCCGGCTCGTGCATTGACATTGTTTTGTTTCACGTCCGCTTGATGTTGTTCACATTGTCGTGCATGATGGGAATTGCGGTTGTCAACATGACTCGTGTCACCCGATTGTGGCAAGCGATCGCAAACCCATCACCTTCAAAATTGCCGTGCCTCTGCAGGCGGATGATGTTGTCCCTAAACCCTGCATGGCCGCGAGTGCGGAATTGGCGCTCAGTCGTCCTGCTGGGTTGTCTAATACTCCTCCATCTGCCTATCCAGAGTTCCGGCCAGTTGCCGTCAACAAAGCGTGTTGTGTGCCTCGGCGCCTGCGCAGGGTCCAGCGCAGACCTACAATTGCACATCCGTACGTTCGCGTGATGCCTTTCCCGCCTCCCGCCGCAGCCCTTCTGTCCACGTCGTGCCAGGTGGCAGTGCGCCCCCCGCGGCAGCCGCCGGCCTTGGCAATGCAGGAGGCGCGGCTTCTGCTGTGACGGTGCTGGACGACACGCCCCCCAACACCCCACGAGAGTCGGACCTCTCCCTCAACACACCACCTGCTCTCCCAGCAGCCGACCTGGTCCGCCATGGCCCACCAGCGAAGCGAAAGACCCTCGTGCAGCGGCGCGCTGTCACGGTCGCTCTGGCGAGCTTTGGTGGCAGCAGCAACCCGGGGCGACCGGGGCGTGCGGGGTCGGCGCCGGCGAGGCTGGCGGCAAGCCAGCGGGGCTGGGCGCCAACGTCTCAGCCGCCGCCGCCCCGCCGCGCGTGTGTCGGCTTCCGGCATTGTCGCCTGGGCGGCTGCGGACACGTAGCCGTCGGGGGCCATCGCCAATGACAGCGCCGCGGCTAGGGGGAGGGGAGCGTCTGGCAGCGCCTGCAGCGACGCCGCGAAAGCAGCATCTGCCGCTGGGAAGGCGCGGTCGTGCCTGCCCGCTCTTTTGCGCCTCGAACGCCAGTGCGCCGTGCAGCACGCGCACAACGCTGGCCCGCCTTCGTTGGAGGTTTTGCTGCGGCGCCTTGCTTCGCCACCCACTTGCTTCCACCGCCTTGCGCCCTCTCGTATCTGGCCTTCTTGGCGACTGGACTCGGAGCGCTCTGCACTGGGACCACAATGCTAGATACTTGCGGTTGGGCTACCGGAGATGATGGATGCCTGCACAAGACTGCGATCTGGTCTTCCATAAGATCCTTTCCTGTTGCTTGCCCATGCAAGAACCGGACGATATGATGCGGCCTGTGGCAGGCAAGGTCTCCAGCTCTCCTGCGTCCTCTCTAAGCAGGAGGCGGGTATACCAGATGGCGACACGCAGCCATTTACGGAATCATGAATCCTGCTGGGGCCGTGCCATCGATTCCTCCTCGCGCTTTAACCTCGCTGGCTTGGCGTTGTGCGGAGGTCGGGGCCTTGCGCCGGTCGGCGGTCAGGCAGTCCCAGGGCCATAACCACGGCACACAGATGCACTCACAGATGCACTCAGCGCTGTCAGGGCATGCTGACAATGGAGGGGCGAGTAAATCAGCACGGCTGTCAGTAGACCTCGATCAAGTCGAGCGGAATGCCACGCACCAGGTGCTGTATGGTTTTGTCATACGCGTTGAAAACCACCCTTTCGCAACGCGCACAAAGGCAACAACGTCAACCAATACTGGCCCCGAAATGCGTCGTGCCACACGCGCCCCCATCAGGCTTGCAGAGCGCCGTGAACCGCACCACAAGACGAATGGCTGCATAAAACTCCTTTGGGGTTCATCCCGCCGCGATACAGCGCTCCTGAATGTACAGGTTCGATTGTGTTTTCTCGATGTTCGCCCGGTGGTTGGCGCGCCAAAGACCGGTCATGGCCATGCTCTCTCTGGCCACGCGTGTCCGAAGCGCCGGACCTACGATCCGCATGGCCGATGGTGCTGACATGCGCTTGTCTTGCCTGCGGGCCTTGTGGCCAAGGTGTTGACTGAGCTGCAGTGGCAACGCGGGCCGCAACTGCGGGCGTGGTTGGTGCGACCCTCGCGCAGCCTCTTGGCAACCGAGAGAAGAGCTGCTGCAAATCGGAGCACGAAGCGGTGCCGCATGGAGAAATCACAGAAACACAATCACATGCTAATCAGCCACGAGAGAGCTGAGTCGAAACAGGTTCCAGAAAACCGCAAACGTCGAACGTCACCGAAGCGCAACGACACGAAACAGCTGGCCGCAGAACCGACAATGTTGCACCAGGCATGCCCTGCCAGAGGATGCCAGAGGGCAAGGAACCGGAGAGCGAGGCTCCACAACCTACGCCACTGGACGTGACGACAATGAGTTTTTTTGCAAGCGAGGATGCCCTCGAAGGCCCTCAACAGCCGTTAACGTGCAACGCGTGGCAAGGCTCCCGTCTCCTGGCTCTGCCTTGTGACTTCTTCAAGCGCTCCACCTCTGCTAGCATGGCATCCGTTTGCAGCAGGGGCTCCTCGACAGGACTGTTCACGCTTCACTCGCTTGTTCTTTGGCGCTGCAGGTCGTATTCTTGCAGCCTCCGCTGGAAGCAGGTGGTGCACCACGAAGAAGACGATGGCCGTGCTCATGAACAGCATTGCAAGCACGTCATCTGCCAAGCTTTGCCCAGCGACAAAAATCGACAAGACACAACCGCCTCGCAGGGTTAAAGAAGTTCGGTCAAAAACACACATTGCAAGCCAGCACCTTGCAACAGCTGCCCATGCCTATCCGACCAATACCTCCACCCACGGGAGCGGCGGCAGCAAAGACCGGATCCGACCGAACTTGACTGTTCGAATCCCAGAAGGTAGTTTATGTGACGCTGAGCTCTCAGCATCATCGTGCCGAGAGTCACATCGTTTCCTGAAGTCCCCCAGCTCTGTTGAGCCGAGTGCTGCGGCTGCAAGAGCAGAGCACTGCAGTCCATGCATGGGGGATACGCGGCCAACCATGTCAAAAACAGATTTCATACAGTAGATGTTCTCTGTAGAATTGCACTTCAGGACAGCTCAGCGACAGCCCAGCTGCTGGGAAAGATCGCTATCTTCACCTGTATGCTGCTTGGCAGACTTCGGTTTTGTGGGGTTCCGGCCGACTCCAACTAATGTACTCCCAAACCTCAACTCGGGCCGGGTTCTACGATGTCAGCCCCGAACTCTTCCTCCACCTCCACAGATTCATGATAAACATGCTTGGAGCTGCAAATATCCTAAGTTTCACCTCCTGAACTTTTTTTGGGGCATCTCTGCAGAGAACAGGGGGGTTCCAAGACGGTCAAGACGGTCAAGCACGAGCTCTTTGAAAGCGTCAGCCGCAAAACGGACAATTGGTTATCCGAAGCACCTGTCTCCAAGCTCTTCCTCGGACTCCCACACTCCCCAGCAGTACTTGGGTTGGGCTTAGAGGGCTGCCGCACGCTCCATGTTGGGACAAAACGGATCATGACGAGACTACGCTGACAGATACTCAAGATACGAACAACTTCCACAGTGGGGCGTTCTTTCTTTTCTCCAGCGTCGGCCCGCTCTTTTTCGGTCACACGAAGAGAGCACCGCCTCCTCACAAGCTTGAGAGAAAACGAAGCAAACAGAGTCGCAAGGGAGCCGATATCCAGAACACAAGGCTCTCGCCTTCACGCCTTAGCCTTGCTGGCCTCCTCAGATCCGTAAGCAAATGCTTCGGTTCACGGATCACTCATGGTTTGTATGCATGTTGGCTCAAACGGCTTGCGACCGGCCAATCTTTCGTACGCAGACAGCTGAGTACCTGCCAAGATTCGGCCTTCTCCGCTTCAGCAACCACTTTGTCAGGACTTCGGTCTTTATCCTGATAACCCAGCAGCAAAGGGCGATCCTGGTTTTGAACTAATCCCTTCCCCCTGGTATTAAGCGTGCCCCCCCCTACTACAAAGACACTTCCCGGACAATCCTGCTCAAACCGAGCCCGCCTTTTAACCCCTTTTCCGAATCGGGGGGGGGGGGGGTGGGGGGGGGGGGGTGGTGGGGGGGGGGGGGGGGGGGGGTGGGTGGGGGGTGGGGGGGGTGGGGGGGGGGGGGGGGGGGTGGGGGAGGGGTGGGGGGGGGGGGGGGGTGGGGGGGGGGTGGGGGGGGGGGTGGGGGGGGGGGGGGGGGGGGGGGGGGGGGGGGGGTGGGGTGGGGGGGGGGGGAGGGGTGGGGGGGGTGGGGGGGGGGGGTGGGGGGGGGGGGGGGGTGGGGGGGGGGTGGGGGGGTGGGGGGGGTGGGGGGGGGGGGAGTGGAGGGTTTCAGGGCCTCAAAACCTTCAAGCCAATCTAAAACCCTATCCCAAAAGATGGCATATGGATAAGAACATCCCCTACTCTTGAAAACACATTTCGAGCTTCCAGGGGGGGTGGGGGGGGGGGGGGGCGTTTAATAATAGGGAAGTGATTAAAGGTGCATTTGAATTTAAAAGTGCGCACGACTCTTGTCGGCTTGGAAGCCTGTTACATGATTGACATGTGTCGACATGTGTCTGTGCCCAGTGCTGGGGGGGGTGGCCGATCCTGACTCGCTTCTTCCTCCTCCGCTTCGAAGAGATCTTCCTCCTGCACGTGGGAGGCAATGGAGAAACTCGCATACTGGTCAGTAGAATATTTTTTCTCTTCGAAGCCTCGTCATCCTCAACTTCTTCGTAAAGTAGTTCGACTTCCTCCTCCTCCTTGCTAGCGTGGCTGGTCGGCAAACTTGGAAGCTCCGGCGCATGCCCGTAAGACTTGGGGGCACAGCGAACCGTTTGCCGCCTCCTCCTCACTTCGTCCGAACTTTGTCACCCAAGGAATTACGAACAGGACGACAAGCCTGACGAAGCTGCTTCACTGACCAATATCAAAAGCCATTCTGAAGATTCTGGTCTAGGCCGTCGGCATGAGGACGGAGACTGCAAAAAATGCAGAATACACCTGCCATGTGCTTTGCATCGCTCGGAATTTGCAGAGGGCAGTTATTGATGTTGCCGAAAGGAAGTCCACAAAAAGCAGAGGCTCAGCACCGCACGTCGATGGGCTCGCCCATGTTTTCGAAGGCGTCGTATGTTTTTATCTTAGTCCGGCATGGTCTTGCCCGAATTCTCAGAGCGCGCAGTACTCGGACCTGACTGACGTCTCGGGGTCTGGCCCGACGCGCTATGCGCCACCTCTAGAACTGAACACAAGAGCCAGAAGGTCCAAGTATCCCCAAGAGCTGGCTACTCCTCGCCTGTCCGCGCCCTGCTCCAGAGAGCTTGCTTGCCGCCTCCGGATTGCTCGGGACATAATGTATGCTACAAAGATCAGGTGTCGCACGCACTCTTAGAAGCGGAAGCCACAAAATCACCGAACATCGGCTGAAGCGAAAGACACGAGGAGAAAAACGCACTTGAAGCTCTTTATGATGGCGGATGGCACGGCCGCCACACGCCCGCCGACGAACGCCGCCGAAAGACCTCGCCCACGGACAGCAACTTGAGTCGGACATGCTAAGCATGTCCTAGTCATGGTCCAATCGTCCAATCAAAACCCATGAGTTGGCATCGAGTTGTAAGAGACATTCACCATCAAGAAAGAAGAGGTTGCGGTAAGGCTCCGGCGGAATGTCCAGTCCTCCAAAAACGAAGAAGCGAGTCAACTGCCAACTGCTCTGCTCTCAATGGCGCTGACCTCTACTTCGCATCTGTCCGGTGCATTCTGTAGCTTTTGGAGAGGCAATTCCGTATCGCTGGTGCTACATCGCTTCTGACGCGTCCACGTTGCGACTGCTTGTGCCGTTGTGGACATGTTGCGCCATTCGCTAAAAATGTTTGTTAGTGACGCGTAAAAAAGCCGTTATTGGCGGATCGCTCTTCATAACGCGGACATACGCGGACATACCTCGGCATCGTACATGATGACTTGTTGTACTTCGTGGAGTATCTGCAGCAATGAATATTCGGCGCGAGCACACGTCAATGATTTCACCCTGGCGGTCCCATGCAGCGCAGATGCCGATGAGAGCAAGACTTCGCAGCACCTTGACTTGCAGCACTTGCCGCACTTGCCGCACATGCCGCACATGCCGCACATGCCGCACGTGCTGCACTTGCTGCACTTGCTACAAGCGCACGAGTTTAGCTAGGCCGAGGCATCTTGAGTGAAGCCAAGTGCGAAAAACACAGGCGCAGCCAAAAGAAAAGGATTGTTACGTGTAGCAAGATTGTCTGCCACCACATAAAAGCGGATTGGCTTGTGGCTTGCTGGCTCGATCTTTCCATGCCGGGCCCTTGGCAGGACTCGCGCGATGAAACTTGCGCGCCATGATGTCGCCCAGACAGCTTGGACGTGGGTGCAGCTTGTCCACGGTAGTGAAGGCAAAGTGGGCTTGTTATTTGGCATGACTTGGCACTTATGGGCTCTACCAATCCACCATCCCTATGCTGCGCTGTGAAAAGAAGACTCTTTACGGGTCTTTGTTTGATCGCAATTTCCTGGGTTGCAAACCAATCTTGGGCGCCGTCGGTTGGCTGCTCATGCTGGCAGGGATGTTGAACATTCTGCACAGCTGTTTGGTACAGAAGGTCGATGCCCTCTTCTCGAGAAATCTCAAGAATTCCACCGGAGCTGCAATGTTTCTCTCGTTGCACGTGCTCTGTTGCCAGCTCAGCTTTGGAGCCGTGAGGGAGATTCAAAGTGGCACACCGACGACCGCAACTATCACAACTGCACAATCCGGTCTCCGATCGCATCCACTAAAACCGTGATTTCTAAGCCCAGGCCCCCTGTGTCCTTGGAATGAAGCTTGAAGCTCCCGCAGAGCACTGTTCAAGTTTGCAGTGCTGCACTGCAACCGATGGACAGCCCATGCACTGACATCGACCCGAAATGCCCCCGGAATTGGCTCATCCAGCGGGCTTGACCGGATCAACTCAGTGCACAAGCCGCCCCGGTACAAACACTTCAATGCACGTGCTGCCTGCACGAGGAGACTCACGGAAGTTTGGGCTGCTGCTACGTGGAATTCCGTGGATCAGCTGCGACCCTCCCGTGCACTGCTAGTCCACGTGCATTCTGACATTAGCCTGGAGGAAGCCACCAATGCAACCAGCGTTGCTCTAAGATAAGGTGGATCGACTTCACGATCTTCAGGCTCTGGGCATTGCTTGGGGCACCTGCCTTCCTCTCTGCTACTCTCCCACCTCTGCAGTCGAGGAGAAGAATGCACATACCGCTCAGGGGCAACAGAAATTGCACCTCAACAAGATACCGACGGTTGCTGGGAACAAACTGCAATATTGACGTAAAACAACTTAGCAGCATCTGAGCACATGAACGTCTCAGTTCGGCTGACTGATGCCGAACGAAGACAGGTGCAATTCCATTACCGGCGTCGTCTGCTCAGCTTGCTTTGCAATGCTGAGGCAACGCTGGAGAACACTAACGGATAATTTTCTGAACTTTGCGAGATTCCGAGCATCAACACCGGTCTCTGGCCTCGCGCGGCTCACGGTACTGAATCGAAGTCTAAGTCAAGCAGAGGAGCTGCAATTTGCACATCCTGCACCGACACGTGGCGCCTCGTCCGGCACAGGATGGACAAGGACGCGGACCTCCAAGGGTTCACCTGCTGAAGGCCGTCTTGAAATCTAAGTTGAAGCAAGATGGGGTAAAGGATAAGAAGGTGCTCACCATCGTGGCCCAAATCGTGGCCCAGCATGCGCAGCATTTTTCGCTCAGCTTTCTGTGCACCACCCATGAGCATGGTGCGAAGCTTCGCGCCCCCGAGCCTTGAGGGCTGGAGCCGCTGGGGCTTGGCGGTGCGGACGGCGGCGACGGAGGGCTTCGAGGGGTCTCCTTGAGGACTGCAGCCTTGAACTACGGTTTGAACTGCATTTTAACTACGGATACTACGGCTGTTCCAAACCCTCGAAACGAGAGCGGGAGATCATGCCACGCGCAAAATTGAAGTAAGGCGGTCTCCGGCTGGTCGTGGTCGTGGTTGCGCCGGCGCCGGCGCCTGCCCAAACTGCCACGCGAAATCCCAGCAAGCATCAACAGCTCCCCAAAACCCTGTGCTACCACCACTGACAGCATCGCCAACAAAGCCAAGCTGTTAAGCATCTTTGGCACATCTTGGCCTTCTCTTGACTGTCGTGCCAGCCTGGATTGACTGGAGCAGTTGCTTGGCATGCTTCATTATGCTTCATTTAAATTTGCAGCCTCTTTGTGACCAGAACTGCACAAGCTGGAGAGTGTAAAGGGCCAGGAAGTGCTCATTGTCAACCGACGACTAGAGTCTCACACAATTGAACAAAGCGGCCAACAACCAAACAATTGTCCTCACAGAAACAACTGTCATCTCAGATTCGCACCGATCTTGCATCACTCGGCGCAGCCGGCACTGTCTGCACCTCCATCAGCATCAAGAAGCATCATCATCATCCAGACCGGGCAGAAACAAAAAAGAACATTCGGCGCATTGTTCCGGTGCATCCCCAACAGCTCAGCGCAGCTCTGCGCAAGCGAGAGCCTTCTCCGCCCCGTCGGAGCCTTCCAGGCAGTTCTAGGCGTTCGAGGTCTCTCCAGACCCATCTGGACCCTCTTCTGCTTCCTTTTGCTTCCTTCTGCTTCCTTTTGCTTCCTTTTGCTTCGGGGGAGTGCCTCTCAGCTCCTGCTGGAATCTCGAGCAACCCTATCGTGTAAAAAATAAAAAAACACCCCAGGAGCCCCGTGGCACCCGCGCTTGTTTTGTTAGGGCCTCCGCTTTCCTGGATCCGAGCGTGCCATCATAAAATCGGTGCGTGGCCAGGTGAGAAATGACGGCAGCAGTATGTTTATTTCTTTGTTCTCTGCCACCCATGCTGGGACCCACTGAAACAAGTCAAGAAGGGTGCTTCATCTAGCAAAGAGCACCCAGGCACGGCCTCCTTGCAGAAGCTCCTGAACCAGCTGCTTGACGCCTTGGACGCGGTGGGCAAGAATGCGACAACCCAGTGCGACCGAGTACAGTGCATTGACCTTTGCAGATCATACCTCACCACGATGAAGAAGACCCCTTACTGCCTCGGCATTCGCCTGATCACTTGGCACATCTTAACATCTTGGCTCCCGGCGCAGCTTTGAAGTCACGGTGCCCTCGACGAAAAGACTTGGCGCCAGAAGGATGTCAGAATAACGCACGTTCGAGGCTGCAAGTTGGCAAGTTATATGAAGACATGGGTGCCGACCCGAAGCACGGCTTAGGCTGAAGCCCGCCCGCAGCATTGAGTGATATCCTATAAGGTCACCGAATCTTGCGGGGGCATTTTGGTGCACTGTGGGTGTGGGATGCTTTGGGCGGCTCGCGTGACCCCCATCCTTCGTGCTGCGGTGCGCCGAGTCAGCTCGTCCAGGTGGCTCTCAAGGACCTCGTGTGTCTCGGCTCAGCAATCCCGGCTTGACCTAGAATCAAGTGTCTTAAATATTCTGAAAGAAGGAAGGGGAAAATGGACAAGGGAGAAGGCGAAAAAGATGCCAAGATAATGCTCCTCGACATGAACTAAGCAGGGAGGCTAAGGTAGGCAATGTCCGCTTCTGCTCAACTAAGTCGGCTCCAAGTGTTGTACGTGGTCCCTTCCGCCCTTCAACGTTTATTCACGCCACCCGCACCCCCGAAAACCGGTCACTTCCCCCGAAAACCGGGCTATATGTACAAACTCAGCTACTGGACAACAACGAGGCCACAAAAGAAGACTGCGCCTCCACCGCTGCAGGCGGCAGCCTGTGTCCAGCAATGCATTCGTCAAATTTTGAGGCCGGTCCGCGCAACGTGCTCTTGGGCAAAGGCTGTAGGAGGAGGCCAGCCTCTTCACGGAGGGCCTGGCAGGACGGCTTGCTGAGATGCTTCCTATAATTTACTATATCATCCCTCAGCTGAGAGCGCTTATGAATGCATGTGCAGGCACTTGCTAGCACAGTTCAGAGATGCTGGCAGTGGCATCATCCACAGCTCTGCTCCTCGATACTCGATCGCATGCGAAAGTTTATGTTGCCCATGCTTCGTCTCCATGCTGCGTCCAAACTTGAAGGTCTGCAGATTTCAAGTGTCACGATGAGTGCCCAGCGGCGATTCCCGGGGTGAGCTCGCTGGCCAGGAGCTTCCACAGCTTCCACTTCCTCGAACCGAAGCTTCAGCCTCAGGGATACGGTGCTTCGTCGACGTTTTCCGGCGTTTTACTTTCTTTCAGACACCCATTTGCAACCCCTCACCCGATGCACGAAGGATCTCCAGGGCACCTGAAAACATGCCAGCGCGCGCGTTTTTTCTGGATGGCTTGCCGAAACTATTTCTTTCCATGTCCCGTCTTCTTCGTTTTGATCCTCTTGGTTGTCTGCTTGGGGGGCGAAGTAGCGTGTAGCAGCTCCTGTAGCGGAGGACCTCGGCTGGGGGTCAGTTTTAGGCCCTTCTGCAGTGCCAGCATGGCATGAGCCACGGACACGGCGTCTTGGAAAAGGTGAGACTTAGCAGCGTCATGGCCATTCACCTCCAGAAAGTGCCGCAGCGTGCGAGATGAGAACGCGTTGTCCTTGTCGAAGCAGAGCTTCTTGACCAATACAGGTAAGTCTCGGATCTCCGCGCAACGCTTGCAGATTACGGCACAAGACTTGGGCCAGATCCGCCGCTTGGCAACATCAACATGCCATTCCAAGTCCATGCACTCGGACTTTCCCCCACAGAAAGGGCATTCGCCAGGCGTCTCAGTCAGCTGCTTCAGCGCTGATGGCACTCCTTCATTCGCGTAGATCTTCTCTAGCACCTCTCGGGCACCCTCAGCACTGGTGGCTGCGCAGTTCGGGGACAGACGCGGTGCCAAGTGGCCCAAGGCAGCTTGGCACTTTGCAAGCCCTTCGGCAGCGGCATCACTCATCTCTTCAAGATCCGAATGGTTTAGTCAAGTTAGTCACATTCAGTAGCCTCAAACCGTTCGAGCAACTGCGACCATGTCTCAAACCATGGGGAGAACTGCTCATGCCTGCAAACTATGCCATGTTTGTCTATTTTGGACGTCTCCATCAAATTTGCCTTTCCAGCTCGAGCAACAGACCAGCAGCTCGCAAAAGCACATGGTCGTGCTTAGATTGCTCATGATCAGGCCTGAAGATGTCTCACGTTCGCAAGGCTCCAAAAGCAGATGGGGATTGCACCGGCTGCGCTTGGTCCACGATCCTGAGCGCTCGGAACCCTCAACGACAGGAAAGGCATCCAAATCAAGGAAACATTGTAGTCCTACTTCCTACTTGGCTGCCTTTGGCTGCATTTGATGTTCAGTAGAAAAATGAGATCATGTCCTTTCCGGTCCTCGCCCTGTGTGGAGGCCTGCAGGCCTGTAAGGTGCTTGCGTGCAGTAGTCCAGCAGACTCACCTCGTCGTCGGTTCGCTCCTTCTCGGAGGTCTTGCCTTGCAAGCTTCAAGGGACGCGCTGACATCCACGGAGGCCGCAGGTCTCATTCTTGCACAGCTTCAGCGGCTTGAATCACTTCGCAATGCTTTGCAGCGGCTTCGAAGGCTCGCTCGCCCAGAATGGTTCCATGATCGGTTGATGCAGGAGACGGAATGAGTGGAAGAGAGTTTAACAATCTAACCATCCAAGATTTGCAGGTTCGATTGCAGGCTGCAAGGGCATGCAAAGTCGGATCTCGCTGTCGTAGGCCCCGCAAGCCTTCGTAGGAAGGAAAATCCTGGCCAGTCTGGCTTAGGATGGCTTTCAGACGCTTTCAGCACGAAAAGGATTCTGTGCTTGAGGGGAGGGGGTTGGCCAGGTGCATGCTCACATGGGTCCGCGCCTTGTGGCTCTGCGCACCTTGGTCATAACATTCACTCCTACATGCCACTTGGCGTTGTTATTGCATGGCTCTTCAGCAGTCGTGCTGAGCGCAGACTGCCGCACAGCTGGGAAGTGGGCGCTGCCAGTACTGCTCCAGGTGTTTTTCCAGAATGTCCTGCAGTTTCTGATCACGACATGCGAAACCGGAATCAAGAAGGAAACATGGGCACATCGTTTGCTGTCATGCCAGCCTGACAAGCACTGTGCAGACTTTCGGAGATGGATTTGTGCAGATCGGCAATTTGCAAGTCTGGCTTGTTCCGGTCCTGCCCAGGCAGTGACTCAGCAGACACAGCACAGTCTTTGTGCGTGCGAGTGGTTGTGTCCGTGGAGTCTATGGCGGCCCTGGGGCAGGGCTGCATGCTTTTGCCCTCTTGAATCGGCTCCTGGCCTTCAGGATCTCTTGCACTTCCTTGTGAAGGTTCCGCACGTCCTGGCATTGAGGCTCCAGTGTAGGTGGGGAACTATGTCGTGTTGCTGTTCTCAGCCTCCACGTTTAGTTCTTAAGCTCCAAACCTGGAATCCCGACAAAACAAAAACGAAAGCACTTACTAGGTCCTCAGTCGCTTCCTGGCATGTCCTTACTTTCAAAGCCCGACGAGAGAACCCCCACAAAAGCATCGTGCGAGAGCGGTGAGGGTTGGGAAAGGGGGTTCCACCTTGTTGGATCAATCATGCTTCTGAAACTTCTGTCATTCGCAGCTGCGCAAATTTGAGGGGCTGTTCAGAACTTTTCTCCGGAGCTGTTTGTACCAATCCTGTGCGCTCTGCAAATCTTAGCTGCTCGAAGCTTGTAACCAGATGTACAGCATTGAGCACACCAGAAACGGCTTGCTTTTCTCGCTCCCAATCCTTGATTGTGTACGAGCATTCGGCTACAATGCAAGACAGCTTGCTGACACTAAACTACTGTCAACAGCAACAAGAAGATGAGCGGACATTCTAGCTGTTCGGCGAGCTGCGCCATATCTCTTGAAGTTACATTTTCAATGATTTAACATCGCTAAGCTATCCCGCAGCTTTCTTCTTGCCTAAGTTTACGTTTACACCAGGCAGCCGGAAATCTGGATCAGCTGGAAAGGAACTGAGAATCGCCAAGCACCACACGGAGCGTTGCGACCTGGTCAAAGACCTCTAAGCTTTTGTAAGCTTTCGATCTTGAGCCAGGCCTCCGTCGCAAATTTTGAACCTGATCGCCTGCGACACGCTCTTTTCTGCGGATGCCAGATGGCGACTTTTTTCAAGCTTTCGGCACGCAGGTGATCAGGAATCCGACCCAACAAGCGAAAGCTGAAAAGTCGGGAGGCAGCTGATGAAAAACATGCCTCGCTGTTCCCGGGCTCTGGATAAGCCGTGATGGGCTGTCCACCGATGTCAATTTCAAGTTACTTTCCTCATCCTAGGCCTAGGCAGAAATCCTGCACACTGATTGCACCATCGCATCCGACCGGTGTTCTGAAGACTACAGCTGCCACCGTCGCCAGTGCTCCCCCCTGGACATGGGGAAGGCTTCCCAAACCAAACTGACAAACCAGCCTCCAGTAAGCATGAAACGATCGGGACATCACGAGGTTTAAGCGGAGATTGAGAGGCCAAGAGCTCTCCCTGCTACGCACAGTATTCATATGCGTAAATATGTTCTTCCTTTTATTTGAAAATGACTGTATATGTGTAGATCTACATATATACATATATATATATGTATATATGCGTGTTACTCATCACTTCGCTTGATTTCTGGCCGACTGCAGAAAAGCTCATTTCCAATGCTGCTACTGACATGCGGTGTTTTGATTTCTTCTCAAGACATGGCTTTGAAGACTGTTGGAATGGATGAGCCACGCAGGGCAAATCTCCTTGCAACCTCGTGCAGCCTAGACCCACCAAAGTGGGCGCAAATGCGGTGGCCAGGCCTGCGGACTCGCTGGCCGGAATGTTGCGGACGTTCAGGCCGCGGAAGCGGCATGTGAATGCACTGAGGTGGCTTCAGGCGTTCACGCCTCAGTGGCTCCTGGCTGGTGCCGACCATGTGCAGCCCTGTCCCATAAGATGCCGCAGCCTCGCTGGCCACATGCCCCCAAGCTCGACCAGACTTGTAAAACCAATCGTGGAGCCAGCAAGAAAACAGCAGAGTAAGATGTGCAAGCACTGTTTAGCTAGCATCCCTTGTGCAAAAACCATTTACAAATCCTTCTGCGTTAAAGCCCAAACCATTCATACCCGTCCCACCCTGATGCACAATGCGCAGCTTGCAAAGGAAGCAAGAAGTCTCATAGCAGACTCTCGAATGCTTTCAATGCTGGCTCCCAGAGTCAAAAAGATGTGCTAACGTTGCACAGAAATCGCTGCCAAGGGCAAGACAGCCCCGTAGCCCGTCCACCCAACAGTAGCCAAGACTTGCTTTGCGTTCAGTTTAATCTGTTGTTGCCATGGGGGCGGCCGTTTCAGCCCTTTTGAACATCGCGATATGCAAGCGAGTTGTCGAAGACTTGGCAAAACTCGGATTCCGTGGCCATGGCCCCGGCCCAAACCCTGCACCAGGCACGGCAGCATCCTCGCAAGATGCCGTCATCGTGGTCTACCATGGTCTACCCATTGATGCAGATCCTACCGCCAAGCCCCGGATCACTGGCATTTGTGGCCGAACATCTTGCACTCTTGCATGCGCGAGGTACAACAGAGCAGAGCGCGAATACAGACGCACTGGCATCGCAATAGAACTGACTCACATATACGCACGTGCTTGACACGTAAGCTGCCCCGCTCAGCTCGACCTCCAAACCCTACAAACCAGCAAAATGGAAGGTTCGGTCTCAGTGCCTCTTCTCACTACAACCGACTACGACAAGCACAGCAGGCTTATGGCACCTTACGAAGTATTCGCCGAACCTTCAAAGCGTTGTCCCAAAGGTTCTGCACAGGGCGCGCAAGTGACAAGCTAGTGGCAAGCTGAAAACAAAGCTGAAGTTGTACAACTGTTACGAGCGCACCCTGCCGTGTACAGTACAATGGACGCAGCTAAAACAATTGTTTTTTCCCTTCCCTTGCGGGCTGTCACGTCGGACACTGCCGGGAACAGGTGCAAGGATGAGTAGACTCAGTAGACACTCCCATATTCACATATGGTTGCCGTATCTCAGCAAGTTTACTGCTGCACTTGTCTGCACGAGGTGGCCTCTGCGCCACAAGCATTTCCCTTTGCAGCCAGCCGGCATGAACATAAGCGGCTGTCAAACGCTTCAGTTCTTTGCCGTCTGCAGAACTCGCAGAGCCTCGTCAACCTCACCCACATCAGAGTTGCAAACAGGATTGGAAAGAGGACAAGCTGTGATAAGCTCAAGCAAAAGCTCTTGCAATGACCAAATCACAACGCTTGTCCGCTTGTCTGGCCTTCTGCTTGAGCTGTGACTCCGACTCGAGAAGCATGAGCAGCTCGCTGTTGTCCTCAGAATAAGCTGTTCGCAGCACCTAAAAAACCCGCAATACTACATTGCAACTCTATTGCGCCACGGGCTGGATCAGAAGCCAAGCCGCCATTTCCAGCATCATGCCTGTGATCTTCCCAGCGAGCTCGGGCTGCATCTTGGAGATCGCCGGGAATAACTTCTCACCGATCATCTGCTTCTGCACCTCGAAATCGCGCAAAAGAGTGAGCCGGCCCATTCCATATCATTCCATGTCATTCCAGTGCATGTTGCAAAAGTGCATTGGGCGAGCGGGCCGTGTTATCGAGAGCATGCTAAATCGCAGAGTCAAGGGTCGAAGCCCAAGGCGCTCGTGACTCACGGCAGGCCCAACGCAACAACAAACCAAATGCTTGGCTTGGGATTGAGAGGTTTTAATAGCCGATTTAACTATTCCGGCGTTTGGGAGGGCCAGGGCGCGCATCTGGAGGCAGTCGATTGCCGGGACCCGGGGGTGGCGGACGGACAGAGACATGTCAGTTGACCGCTGTGCGTGTCTGATTTCCCGCCATTAAAGCCACTCGACCCGTCCAGGAACAAAAACAGCTCAACGACCCAGCACACTCTCCAGGCATATCGGATCCTTCACTGCAGGACCTGGTCCGAACTCACAGCGGATCACTTCTGCAGTTGGGCCCCGGGCAGTTGGCGAGGCGCTGGCCAACGCAGCGGCACTCCTAAGCGTGGCATGCTTATCCAAATCAGCTACATAGCACAGCTGAAGAAAAAGGATGCTCGTCTTGCCTTTTGGGGATGAAACTCTGGTTCTTTGCGTGCAAGGTGATGTCACGAACACTCAAGGAAGTGGGTGGCAGTGCCGGCAGAGGAAGCCATGGTTTTTCAAGAGGTTGGTTTATGAGGCCCGAAGAAGGAATCCGACTGTTCGTAGTTCATACTTCTTGTCCAGGCATCAGCGGGGCGTTGCTCGGCGGCCCTCCAGGTCGCGGAGGCCTTGTGACATGACCATGCAAAGCCCGCAAACGACACACAGAAGCAGAGATTGCTGCCAGGAAGCATCATGTTGCCAGGACCCATGGGCGGGCGCATCCTGGCAGGTCACCAATCGACAGGAGAAGAACCGGGAAAGACAAACCCTCCAGCAGCTTTGCAGGGTTTAGGTGCATGCTGCATTTGAAACGACCCCTTGCTGAGTCCGGTGCTGCATCATAGGATTCATTCCCATGGGCATTGTCGGCATCATTGGCATTTGGCCACCGCCCTTGCCGGGCATCATCATCGGCGCTCCTGCGAAAGTCTACAAAGCACCTTCAGAAGCGAGGACTTCTTCAGAACCAACTTTGCAGTCCTTTACCCATCATTCCCATCCTAAGCGTCAGGACAAGTACGGCGTGCTTGCAACTTTAACAGGGCCTAGTAACGGGTCATTTGAGAGACCGGCATCGGCGCTTTCGCCATGGGTGCCCCACCTTTGCCTCAGATCCGACTCATTGTTTGTGGGCTGTGGCCAAGGTTCCAATGACGAGTGATCGCTTCACGTCTTCTCACATGGGGATTTCCGATATTCGGGGTACCTTACTGGGGTCTCTATGATAAGGGGATCCTATACTATTTGGGGGGTCTTGAAAAAGGGTCCCTATATTCGTAAACTCCCACATTTGTAGGAGAAATCCACAGGCACTCGTATTGCTGCCTCGTGGCCCATCATCTGAGGTGGCATCATGCCCATCATGGGCGGGCGCATCATGCCCATCATCTGAGAAGCAGGCTTTCTTGCTGGACAACTCTCGGCAGTCTCTTGGTTTGCAGGAGCCGCTCAACCAGCCTGCTGCGGCATCATGCCCATCATTCCTGGCCGCAGGGCTAAGTGGAGTGTTGTGGTGCCGCAACTTCCCTTGGAGATGGAACAACGTAGCGTCATGTAGAGCAGAGAACTGCGCCGCCTCCCATATTGGGGTTGCCGCCGCCGCCCTTGCCACCCTTGCCTTCGCCCTGTCAGGCGCACTGACTT